TAGCAACAGAAAAATTAGTTCCACATCTTGGACCTCGAAAAGGCTATGTCATTCACTATCAAGAGCTCCAATATTATGTAAAGCTAGGTATGGTTGTAGATGAAGTTACAGAGATTTTATCCTTCGACCAGACTAATTGGTTAGCCCCATATATTGCAAAAAATACCAAGTTACGCCAGAAAGCAAAGAATGCTTTTGAGAAAGACTTCTTCAAGCTCATGAACAACTCGGTATATGGCAAGACTATGGAGAATGTACGTAAGTACCAGGATGTCAAGATTATGGCCATGAATAATGAGAGAGATGAGAAGAAATTCCTTAATAAAGTCCGGAAGCCCACATTCAAGTATGGCAGACCGCTTGGACCTACATTAGTAGGAGCGCATATGGGAAAGGCTAGCGTGACTCTCAACAAGCCTATTATAGTCGGTGCATCAGTATTAGGCCTTAGCAAACTCTTAATGTACCGCTTTTGGTATGACTATGTAAAGGCTAAATATGGGGATAAGGTCAAGCTTGGATATATGGATACAGACTCTTTTATATTCCAAGTTGAGACAGAAGACATTTATAAAGATATGGCTGAACGACCAGATCTCTTTGCTCTTAATGGGGACGTAACTATTGGCAAGTTTAAGGATGAGACGCCTGGTAAAGTAATCACTGAGTCTATACATATCCGGGCCAAGTCTTACCACTATGTCTTAGCAGATAAGACCACGAAGTCTAAGCATAAGGGGGTTAGTAAGAAGGGCATGAGCGAAATGGCAGAGAACACATATCCTGAAAGTAAATCTCCCTTGACTCAAGTATATCGGGATTGTTTATTCCAGAAAAAGGTATTCTATGCCAAGAATGTGGGTATCCGATCAAAAGACCATGTATTATCTTTGGTCGAGTCAGAGAAGAAAGCTCTCTGCCCCATAGATACTAAGCGTTGGATATTATCAGATGGGGTTAGCTCTTTACCATATGGGCATTTTCGCATCAAGGTGTATAAGAATATGGTCAAAGATGGTATCCCCCATGAAGTGGCCGAAAAAAGAGCTATAAGGGCCAAGCTCCCAGAGAAATACCAAAACGAATGTGTGTCTCACATATCTAGCTTTCAGCCATAAGTTAGATAGTGATGTGTAGTCAGATTACATACATTAATATATTATTTTTTTCTAGAGCGATAAATATTCAGTTATTTTTTTTCCAGATTATAAAAATGCCTTCTAAAAAATATCGAACATATTATTCTAAAAAAGAAAAGGATTATGCTATTCAAGAGATTAAAGAGAACATTATAACGTTGGAACGTGATATAACTAAAATACATGAAAATCTTAAAAGCATTAGTCGAGAAATCTATTATCTATATGATGCTATGACTGAATCATCTGAGTCCAGTACATCCGAGTCAGATGATGAACCATGGAAAGCTATCAGCTTTAAAAAACCTGGGAATAAGAAGGTGAAATCCAACAAATAAGAAGGTGAAACCTAGAAGGAATCCAACCCGAGCTTGTAGAAAAAAATTAGATCCGTTGGTCTATCTAATAATGGGTAGAAAATTGAGGAATAATCGTCGTAAGTTAATGGGAAAGTTCACTACTAACCCCACGTAGTATTTGCCATTAATAATATTTTTTCGATTAAAGATATAGGCTCATATAGTAAAGTATGGAATTTAATATCAATTTGCACAATATGGAAAGTTTAGATGAAATTATAGAAAATGCAAATAAAAATATTAAAAAGGTGTTTCTAACAGGGGTTGCACCTGAATTTCGACAAGAAGCCTATATAATTGGTCTTAAATTAACATTGGATAGATTGGCACAGGAGCTAGAGTTTGCGCAAAAAGATGATTGTTCTTCTAAGCCAGCCAGTTCAGAGCAGTGATCATCGCTCAGAAATCTCATATTTGAAGATCTTTAATCAAAAGGGATTGCCATATTTGTATCAGGGGCTTTCATGTTTTGCAACGATCGTAACCTTAACTGGGAGTTTAGTAGTCTTTTTTATGTCATATGTTTGAAAAAGGGTCATAACATAAGGATAAGATGAGATAGTTATATATTTTTTCTTCATACATAGTTAGACTAATTTCCGCAGATAAGGAATCAGCCAGTGACGATAAATGATAAACTTTTAGCGAAATTGTGATTGCTAAGCTAATGCATTCTAATACAGGGCAATTTGTAGGTCAGGATCGGCCAGGACTAATTGCTGTAATTTGCAAGGGCCTGATCCTAAAGGGACCGCTAATGAATGACAAAATGTGGTGTGTAATTGCTAATAAAAACCCGGTAATATCTTTCTCCTGCAACCCTATAAAACAAGCGAGAAATATTGTCTTTTTTTTTCAGAAAACGTTACCATGGAAAATCAAGAGAGCGTAAACCCGACTTCTACTGAGGAGGATAACGACCTGGATGACCTAATTTATTATGATGATGAGCCGAGAGGCACTTCGCATGAAGATAATGGGGGAAAAAGTAAGATTCCAAAACCTTTTATCTCGTCTCTTATTAATCATAGGAACCTAGCCTATAATATCCTGAAATATCTTGAGGATGATACGGTCAAGTATAAAGAAATCCAGGAGCTTGGGCAATGCACTGAGTGTACGAATAATATTTTGTCATCACCAATCAAAGCACTCACCATCCTCACCTGCGGGCATATTTTTCACAGACCATGTATAGAGAAGCAACTTCTTCATACCAAACCCAGCACATGCCCATTTCCCGATTGTGGAAAGAATGTCGATATTATTGTGGATCCAAATTCTATTAGGAGAGGTTCGCAATCATCACAATCTAGCGGAACTTCGGCTTTAACTAATTTGATGGGTAAAAAAGTTGTTCTGAATTCGCCAGTTATACCAGAAGAGGGAAGACCATCTGACCTAATGGACGTGGACCCTGATAGCAATGTAGCACTCATGAATGTACTATTATCAGGTGGAGAGCAAAGATCGTCCAAGACTACTAGGGTCACTAAAAAAACTTCTAACCAAGCAACCAACCCTGACAATTCCGAAAATATGGATGACTCAGAACTTTCTAGCAGACAAATCCAACACCCTTTATGTGAGAAATGCTCCGAAGAGATTTCTATAGAATTTACGAAAGATACTGTCTTTTTGTCGTGTAAGCATGCCGTGCACTATGACTGTATTGA